ATAATAGACCAGGTTAACTATTCTGAAAGAGTGAAACCCTTGAGACTGAGACTGTGGCCCCTAGTTACCCTTGAGGCCTGAAATTGAACTCCCTCCAGCCTAACAATAAACAGGCATAAATGGTAAACACTTACACCAGGTAGATACACTCCTTAAAATGATTGATTGTGGGAGAACAGAAAAACAATGTTTGCACAGGAAGATAGCTCAGGGTGCAGGAATGCGTAGGAAAGAAGGACCCAGGAAAAAGGTGATTACTGGGAAGAAGTGGGAAGAAAGCTGTTACATTGTGGAGATTTTAGTCAATGCCATGAAACAAAATGTGTATGAACTGCTGTATGGAAAATGAACTTGCTCTGTAAACTTTCACCCAAATCACAATAAAAATTAAAAAAAAAGAAAAGTTGGCCCTTAAAAGTTGGTCTTTTCCCTGATTGCATTCTTTGTCCTTTTGTATTCCAAAATACTATAAAAGCAATCATTTCATTCACTTTTATGGATTTAACTAGTATTTTTGTCCAAGAATTTTTTAGCTCACTTCTCTTCTGAGCTCAGGGCCCGCATTGCCAATTACCTATGGTTACCATTCTCTGCACATCAGTCAGACATCTCAAACTTGGTAAACAAGTGAACTCTGTATATTTCTCCTTATCACTCCCTCTTCTTCCTTCTTTTATCCCCATTAACGGCATTGCTTCTACCCAGAGACCGTAGATAGTAACTTTGGAATCTTCTGTGCTCCTTCTATAATCTGCTTAGCTACCAAGTGCCACTTCAGTGAATGCAGAAATATGTCTTTACTATATCCACTCATCTTCATTGTGGCCTCTGCGTTGGTTTAGCTTTAGACCTTTATCATTTCTGTAACTGTCTCCTGAATCCCACTATCCTCTGCTCACATATTTCTCACTCTTATTCTCACTTCCTCTGTTCCAGATATACTGGTTTCCTTGTTCCTTCAACAGGCCAGACACACTCCTGCCCCAGAATCGTTCTTTCCCTTCTTCTTAAAATGTTGCTGTTGTTAAATGCCATCAAGTCAATTCTGACCATAGCAACCCCACATACAACAGAACTAAACATTGCCTAGGTTTTGCGTCATCCTCACAAATGTGTGCCTGACTCTTTCTTACTTTCAGAATTCTACTCAAATGTTACTTTTCCAGTGAAGCCTTTGAGGACTGTACTATCTAAAATTGTAACTCACTAGCACTTTTTATTCTCTTTCCCTATTTTAATTTTCTCATTGGTATTTATTACTACAAACTTCCTACTACAGGATTCCCTGGAGGTGCAAATGTTTAATGCACTTTGCTGCTAATCTAAAGGTTGGAGGTTTGTGTCCACCCAGAGTGCCTTGGAAAAGAGGCCTGGGGATATAATTTCAAAAAGCATCCACTGGAAACCCAGCTGAGCACAGTTCTACTCTGACATATATGGAGTCACCACAAGTCAGGCCAGCTCCATGGTAATTGGCTTTTAACCTACTATGTTTGTTTATTACCTTTCTGCTCTATTAGAATGTAAGCTTCATGACCACAAAACTGTCTTATTCATTTCTGAATAGCCAGAGTTTAGAATCTTGCTTAGGACATTGTAGGTACTGAATGATGAGTGAATTAATGAACAGGTCTCCCCACCTCTAGTCTCTTCTCCACCTAATCCATCCCCATTGACATCTAATTTATCCTTTTTAAGATATAAATTTTTATTTGAAAAAAAATCACTCTAGCTGAAAAATGTTTATGGGCTCCCTCCTCATGCTTACAAAATAAAAATAACACACTGCTGAGGAAAACATGCCAAGCACTCTGCCCTGGCTCCAATATGGCTTTCAAGCCTCACTGTCCCTCATGCATCATACAGTTCAACCACCCACAACTTCTCATTGTTCCTTCAACAGGCCACAGCCCCTCACAACTCCCTGCCTTTGCCTGGGATAGTCTGTCTGCATGGTGTGTCCTTCTACCTTCTCCCTACATGGAAATTTATTTCATCCTTCATCATGGTTCTAAAACATTACTTTTATGAAGATTTCCCAATTCTATCTGGCCTGCATGCCCCTCTAAATGTTGGACATTCCTCTCGTACATACCATCCTATCATAATGTATTGTCTTTATTTATCTATGTGCTGCCTCTTCCACTAGACTTTTGAGGACAAGAAACACATCTAATTCATCTTTACATCCCTATCAATGTCACCTCCCCCTCTGTCCTAGATACTTAATAAATAATCAATTAGATCAGTGTGGTGGGCAGAATATGGCCTCTAATGATGTCCATGACCTAATCCTTGGAACCTGTGACTTTTACCATATATAATAAAAGGTACTTTGCAGATGTGATTGAATTAAGGATTGTGAGATGGGGAGACTATCCTGGTTTATCTGAGTGGGCCCAATGCAATCATAAGTGTCGTCAAAAAATGAAAGAGGGAGGCAGAAAAGTGAGAGAAGGAGATATGATGACAGAAGCAGAAGTCAGAGCGATGGTCTTGCCGGAAGACGGCCAAGAGACAAGGGATGTGGATGGCTGTTAGAAGTTGGAAAAGCCAAGGTATAGATTCCATCCTAGAACCTCCAGAGGGGCCTTGCCAACACCTTGATTTTAGCTCTGTATTATCCATTTTCAGATTCTGACCTCAACAAGTACAAGACAATAAAAATAAGTTTATAGTAATTTATTAACAGCAGCAATAGAAAACGAATACAGCCGACTGTAGTGATAAATCTAAATCAGAGCGTGATTGGCTGAAGTTTGTGTGGCTAGGATAGGCCAACTGATATGGAAGTAGTAAATCATGGTGAATGTCTCACTATGTCAGAAAAATATATATTATCCCCCAAAGTTGCTTGCTCCCTCTGACCTGTGGTTCTTATGAACTAGCAGACAAGGAGCTATCTTGCACAAAACAATAAACTGTGCTCTTACCTGTTCGGCCTTCAGTTTGGGCTTCCTTGCTAAAGAGGCTTCCACTGACAGTTAGAATTTGTATCCTGTATTTTTTTCCTGGTGTTAGATCTTCAAATTTATGTTGATTAGCAGTGGCTGGTTCTGATGTGTTGCTCAGAAGGATCCCGTTTTCATTTAGAAGCAGGATATCATATCGTTCTGCCACGCCAACAGCTTTTTGCCAATTTACTAGTAAGGAATGACTGCTGTATGCATTATCTGCGATTATTCCCTGAACAGATGCTGGGACTACAAAGAAAAAGAAACAGTTGAGAAAATCCCTCCTGAATCAACTGTAGATGATGATGCTCCTGCTTTTATTTGTGCTTTATTGACATGTTCTGTGTGCCTTTATAAAGAGGAGAAAGTATCTCTTGGCTTGAATTATCTGTATAACAACTTTGATTCTCCATTTTTCTGTGAATTTAGACAGAACCTTAAAGTCAAACAGGTGGGAAGATTAGTAAAAGTGACACTACTTGGTGTTAGTCAGATTGGCTTCTCACTGATGGGGATGCCATGTACAACATAAGGACTATCTAAAATTGTAACTCACTGGTACTTTTTAACCCCTTTCCCTGCTTTAATTTTCTCTTTAATATTTATTACTATAAATGAAATATGGGATCCCCTATTGGTTGATTTTCAGAATAAGATTATCAGGACTTTTTTCCTAGTTTCTCTTAGTTCTTAGTCTGGAAGCTCTGTTGAAACTTACTTGGCATCATAGCAAACATAAGACTCCACTGATGCATGATAAATATATGACACTACATATAGTATATATATATAGTATAGAGTGATATATATCTAGAAAGAGAAAGAATGCTGAAAAAATTTATACTCATTGAATGTAGTTGAGATGACTGAATTTGCCTCTTGTTTAGGTTTTTATTCCCAATATTAACACAAGTCAAACCTTTATATCTTGATTTAAGAAGTAGTATATAATAGTATTTACACTCTGGCTTTTGATGTGAAAGGCAAAATAATTTTACTTGCCAATGATTTTTATGTCCTACGCTCATTTCTTTCCTCATTCTACTTAATCTTTTTAGGAGATCTCATCTACTTCCATGGTTTGAATTGTCACCCTTATGGAGTTGACTCCCGAATTTAAACTTTCAGTTCACATATTTCTCCTGTTTTTGCAAATGACATGTTTATGGATGTTCCACAGTTACACAACACTCATAATTTCTATCTCCCAAATCATATAAATACTTGTTGAATTCATTCACTTCTCTTCTCTACTGACACTACCCTAGGACAATATCACATACATTATTGCAATAGCCCTTGCTTCTTAGCTCCCATTGTTTCGAACTCCACACTACATCCTGCATAACACCCAGAAGTCCTCTAGAACCCCCTGCTGATATCTCTTTACTGGCTCTACATGTACCTCAACCTTAACCAAAATTATCCTTAGAAGTGAGGATGACAAGACTTTAATTTGCTTACTTGATCAGTCAGGAAAGACCAGCTGTTAGAAAAGGACATCATGTTTGGTACGTGTATATATATTCTTTGCCAGAATATGAGATTCTATTAAGGCACCTGACTGCTAACCAGAAGGCTAGCAGTTCAAACCCACCAGCCACTTCTCAGAAGGAAGATGGGGCAATCTACTTCCGTAGTGATACTGCCTTGGAAACCCAAGGACTGGTTGCTATGAGTCAGGTCCAAGTCCATGGCACATAACAACAACAAATATGTGACAGAGGCATAGTAAGGGCACAGTACGGAAGCCTCAAGCTACGCAGCTAAGTGGTCATGAGAATGGAAGATGTCCAAGAACTGTTGCATCATAGTAGAGAAGGCATGTGGTTTGGATTCAGAGATAGTGAATTATAGTTCTAGGTCTTATTATATCTATTGTTGGTAATGTTTCCGAGACTTTCTGAATCTTACTTTCCTCATCTGTACGGTGGAGATAAGGATGTCTACTTTGCAGTGTGGCTAAAGATAATTCAACATGTTTGACATACAGCTGGTGCTTGTAGCTTATTCTTGTTTTTAAAATAATATATTAAAACTAATATTAATAAACAGATACATCATTCATTCATTCAATAATTATTCTTTGGCTATCACAGGTAAAATAGATGACACACACATATATTTTATTCCTGAAAATAATTTTTCTGAAGTGGTAAAATTTTGAAAATGCATAATTATGGAATGTTTGCTTGCTATCTTGATGGCAACTAACACCACCACCACCACCACCATATCCTTGAATAAGTGCAAAATTTATTGAAATGATTTGATTTCTAAATTAAAATCTATTTGCTTTGAAAATCTCTATTATTAAGAAAAATCAAAAATATGAGAAAAGCTCTCAAAACACATTGAACTGTACAAATTTAGGTATTTTTTCAATTTGGATGTTAAAATATGTAAACAAATAGCTTAGTCCATTTTTGCCCCATCACAGAAGAACTACGAAGCATTCTGCAAGTTGGCCTTTCTCCAGGCGGGTGCTTACCTGTTCGCCCAAGCGTGTCTATCTGGTTCCTCAGGGACCCGCTGATGGAGGCAATCACAATCTGGTACTGTTCCCCAGCCTCCAGTCTGTGGAATGTGTGCTCATAGACGTGCTTGGGGATTGTCTGCGATTCAACCTTCTGATTCTGCCTGAACGCTGACACCATGTAGGAATCAACATCTCCCCCACCAGGTGTCCAGTTTACCGTCAGGCTATCTGTTGCCCCATTGGGAGAAATGTGAATATTTTTGACAGCACTAGGAACTAAAAGAGAAAATAAATTTAAAAGCCATCACCGAGAGAATGAACAGGGGACATTTTCAATCCAAAGTTTTCTTGTTTCTTACATTCAGCATCTACTGAAAGAACACACATGAAAAAAGTATCAATATGTCACTTTTCCATGACTTTCCTGCCTGAACTGACATTGGCTGGGAAAGTTTAGAGGGATGTCAAGTTCAGTGAGTAGAGATGAAGAATGCCCAGTAGCATAGCTAATGGGTAGTCAGATTGCCTTGGTCCAAGCCTTGGCTTCCTCATTTACTAGTTGTGGGGCTATAGGCAAATTACTCAATCGAAGTTTCAGTTTCCTTATCAGAAAAATGGCAATGATGACCATGGACTTGTGAGAATTGAATGAAAATACATCTAAAGTGGTTTGCTTTGGGTTAGTTCTGGATAAAGCATCAATAAATGTTAACTATGATAGCAACATTCCTAATAGAGCTTCAAGGAAGTGATATCCAACCAACAAGGTTATTTATGCTTAATCTTTATGCCTCACAAGCACCAGCTATTCATATCAATTCAGTGATATTTCTCTGTTTTGTCTATAAAGCATCTTTCCCCCCAACATCATACTTTACTTTTGTTAATCCAGCTGAGACAATTTCATTGTCACAGGTCAAATACCTTCATCCCCTTTGCCATTTGTTTCATCCCTCTAAATCTTCAATCAGAATGCCTGGGTCATCCAGCATATTACATATACCCCTACATGTACTCAAATTCAAGAACCATATTTCAAATTACCCGTTAAGCCCTCAATGAAGGCTGACTGTTGTACATCTCCACTGATGGTCAAAACAAGAATTTTATACAGGCGCCCTGGTGTTAGGGAGGTGAATCGATACTCAGTTGCAGTATTTACAAGGTGAAAAGGAGGAAATACTTTCATGTCATTGAAGAGGAGTTGGATCTCATACTGGTCTACATCTCCATCAGCTCGTGTCCAAGTCACCTGCAGGTCCTCAGTGCTTCTATTCCGCAATGTTAAATTCTTAACCGGCTCTGGGACTAGGGAGGAAAGTGAGAAGATACTTCAGGAAAATGACTGATGAGAGCTTATCTGCACAATAACTTATGAATCACATTCAAGGGAGTGGCAAACATCTCGCTTCCCCAAATAAGCCACTTGAACTACTTCATGCATAATTAAACAAGAAAAATTGGAAGCAACTATTAAAAATGTATCTTTTTTCCTGACATAAATCTTATATGCTAAATGTTGGTAGAATGTAATTATAAAATGAGTTATGGTCTCAATCATAAGACAGAACAAGAAGTTGAGAACTTTAAATGCCAAAATGCAGGAGGACAGAAAGAAAAATGAGATAGTCTTCTTGTTTCCCCACTATATTTACTTTTGTCTACCAATAAATATTCTATAATTATAGGCCATGGCTTAACTAAATGATGTTAGCCCCAAGTGAAACTTACTGGGAAAGTAATTTACTGATCAGTAAGGAGAGGAACTTAAAGTTCAGATAAATAATTACTTGATGACCTTCAAGTTGCAACCAAACATTAGATTTTGCAATCATTCCACTTACTTGTTCTCCCATTTCCTTGTTCACTGGCTTCGTATTGTCCACTTTTTGTTGTAACAGTAACACTGTACAACCGTCCAGGGACTAGCTTAACAAATATACACTCATTTTCAGATTTGGGAACGCTTTTAGTTTGAATGAAGTTGTTTTTGTTTTTAATGGTGATTTCGTAGTGATCAAAGTCTCCAGTAGCATGCACCCAGGATACCTTTAAATAGTCACTCCTGGCTGAGTTGCTAATACTGACTCCCTGGACCTTGTCAGGCACTAAAAAAGAGAACAGAGAACAACTGAAGATTTAGTAACCTGAGTGGGCAATTGATCATAGATGACAACCTGGGATGGTAAGGTTAACTGAGTAGATTTTTCTTGTGGGCATTTAAACAAAATATCTTAGACTTTAGATCACAGATTTCTGGAGGGAAAAGATTGTTTCACTGCTTGGAGTAATTAAATGAATCTTTTAACAGAAACTGATGAGTTCATTCTAATCCTGTCGTTTGCCTACACAAAATGTCATGTACAAGATAGAATATTAAACACAATAACTGATGATTAATATGAATGATGGTGATGATATTAATAATTCCAGCATACCTTGGTGACTCAAGACGTTTAAAAAAGTTACCAGGAAGAGTATAAACAATCCGAGAGAATAATGGGAGAAGACAAAATACATGTGGCTATTTATCACATGATGAAATGTTCAAGAGTATTGATGATCAAGAAAATGCAAGTCAAGACTACAGTGAAATTCCACTTTAACTTCCTTTAATTGTTTTCAAAACCTGATTAAACCAAGTGTGGGAGAGGATGCCTGTCCACAGGAGACTGGACAAAGGAAGTGGTATGAAGTGAAACATGAAATAAGTCATACTATAGTAGTCATGCTCCTTCTCTGGTAGCATAGTGCCTATGCTTGACTGCTAATCAGAAGGCTGGCGGTTAAAACTCACCAACCATTCCTCAGAAGGAAGGTTGGGCAATCTACTTTCATAGTGATACTGCCTCGGAAACCCAAGGAGGGGTGGCTATGAGTCAGGTCTGACTTGATGGCACATAACAACAACAACAACATAGTAGTAGTCATGGGAGCTCTGGTAGCATAGTGCCTAAGGCACTTGACTGTTAACCAGGAGGCTGGCGGTTCACACCCACCAGCCACTCCTCAGAAGGAAGGTTGGGCAATCAACTTCCATAGTGATACAGCCTCAGAAACCCAACAAGGGGTCGCTATGAGTTGGATCTAACTCGAGAACCCATAACAACAACATAGTAGTCATAATTTCTTCCTCTTAACTCAAAACACAAAATATAAATTTTCTCTCTTAATATCAAAATAAAAACAAATCTTATCAATATAATATTAAGTGAAAAATGTAAGTCCCAAAAGATTACATATTGCATAAAAATACACTTTTTATAATGTTAAAAACAACTGAAATAAAAATATCCATAATTTTAGGATTACATATAGATGTAATGAAACTATGTAAGATGGGGAAGTTCCGGCAAGATGGCGGACTAGGCAGAAAGACTGCACAGACCCTCTTCAACAAGAAAAGGGAAACCAATTAACACAGACACAGAAGATAATCTTGGACCCCTGAGCCTTAAAGGGAAGGATATAGAAGTGGACTAAACCCCAACTAGCAGAAGAA